AAAAAAAAAAAAAAAAAAAAAAAGAAAGTAAAGCTTGATAGGTTTTTTTTGTTGTTGTTGTTAAAGTTAGTCGGTGGTTGAAAAACCTTGTTATAGGTTGTTAGGCATTCTTTTACTAATAATTTTTAATGCATGTCATGTGTAAAAGACTGCTTAAGTGTCAATGCAGAAACTAGCAGGAATTGAAAATTAAGCTTATCAGTTTTCTGTGATAGAATGATGGTTTGGGAGCTACTCAAGAATGGAATGTTTGTTAGTAACTGAAGATTTTTCTGTCTTCTTCCTTGTGTTCTCAGAGCCACACTTTCATTTTCCTTTTGTCAAGAAAGCCAGGCATTCTGTGGCATGCTAAATCGAGAAGGGATTGGCCCCAACCGCAGCTCTGTTGCTTGGTTGTTGCATTGCCCTAAGAGACCCACAAGAAGAATCTCACAAAATCCAGTGCCCTCCCATAGTCTAGCTTCCCCATGAAATAGCTCCATTCATATTGCATTAAATTTTTCTCAGTGTCTTCTGGTTTCACGGGTTCTCACTGTGTGAGAGAGTCACTCTACCGTGGTGGTAAGCGGTGTGGCCAGAATCTGCCGTAGACCATCAGTATCAGTTTTTCAGATCCTGGAACTTTCACTAAGAAACTGTGGTTCTTATTTTAAAAACAAAACAAACCCAAAATCTACAAGCAAGAAAACACCGCAAAACCAATCAAAACACCAACACTTTTCTTAACCTTAATAACTTGCTCTTTTTCCATGCATATCTAGTTCTTTAAAAAAAAATACCTAAAAAGTTGAAATTGGTTTACTACATATTCCTGTTGGCCCAGGACATAGTGATTGACATTTTTTTTCTTTTAAAAAATGGATTTCTATTTAAAAAATAGATTGCTTTTACTGTGACAACTTTGACAGTCTTTCAAAGAGGGAGAGAAATGTAAATTCAAAAGGATAATGTGTCTTTTTTTTTTTTTTTTTTTTTACTTTAATCCTGTTTTGTGAAGCATTAGCTAGGTTAGCATTGCCTCATATTAATCAGTTACCATAAAGCCCATTAGGATGCCTTGATTGATGCCCTTGGTCTCCCTTGACCTCAGATCTTGATTGAAGCATCTTAAAGGCCTGTATGCATGTGGCACCACATCCAACATTGTGATTGCTCACTCAGTAGCTCTAAGCACTTACTCTTCAATAAATCCTTGGATGCAATGGGGATGGAGAATGAACTTTTTAATTACATGTCTGTTATTTTCTATCACCAGGAGCGAAATTAATGGGAAATTAGTTCACAGGTTTATTATGCATTTTCCCTCTTTAAGAAGAGGGACTCTTTTTCTGACAGTCCTTCCACTTTTATAATTTTACCATTTTATTTTATTGGCCTCAGTACTGAAATTCCTTCTTTCTCGTTCCAACTACATCAGAAACATTCAATAGACTTAGCAGCCTATGGAAGTCTGACAATTACTTCCTCACGACAGCCTTGTTTCAAGATTAGGTCCAGAATAAATAAAAGTTTTTCATTTTCCTGGTGGCATCTGTTAGTTTTCAACATTGCCCAGAGAAAGAGTTACTATGGATTACAAAAAAAAAAAAAAATGAACTACTTTTTCTTCCATTTGGGCAGAAATAGACATATAAAAAGCCATGAGTGCTTCTTTCATAAACCATATTTTATGTGCATTTGAAAAATCAACCAGTAAGAGAGAGAGATGATGTTGGTTGTGGAAAAGTCATAGTGGATAAGCTCAATTTATTCAGTCTTCTGGGATAATGTAAGAGCAAAACATGGAAACAGGAATACAGTGTTCATCATAGTTATAACTCATTCATTGAAAGCATTTTGAAAACAGTGCTATCTAAATTTTGGATGACAAATAATAAAGCATAGTTAACGCTTCTCATTGGTTGTGAACATTCAAATACATCCAAGTGTTTAATCATGGCCATTCATCATTCTGTAAATCAAAATTAGGTCTTTGAATTCTCCTTTCCTATTCTGAGATCAAGGCATATTTGGCTTCATATAAAATCTTATGCATAATTTTGAATTTCTTGGACAATCAAGTAATAATACATAATTATTTAAAAAACTTTTCAGAAGCAGAAACTTCAGGTTTCACGTACTTCTTATTAATCCTAAGGCCTAGCAAAGGGCACAGCTGTAGTTCACCTCAATTATACACTATAAATATTTAGATTAGAGACAGGAAATAAGTTTTGGGAGTTGCAGGAGTAGAATCAGATGTAGGACCTATTATTGTAGAATAGAGATGGAGATGGGGTTTACGGTTTTGTATGTCACTGGTAGAGCAATAAAATTAGTGTTAAAAACAAGGAGTGGTGTGGACTTGGATTGTCATAGGAAGAGAAGCTGAGAAGAACAAGAATGCTCACATTTCTTTTGTGAAAAGGGTCTGAATGCCTATGAAAGACAGCAGGTACTGAGACTTGCCTGTCACCACTTGGCAGCAAAGCAAGGAAATAGGACAGTATTAAATTTGTGAAGTTGTTGATCAGAAAACTAGTTTAGTGTACAGAGGAGTCTGTGTGTTTTAAAATATTCCCCAAGTGGTAGAATATTACTGACATTTGAAACAATAGCACAGTCTACCTATGTTAAAATGGTTGTTTCCATTTTTAAATTATATTCTTTAAATAAAAGTCTTGCTCTCTTGTTAAGCTAGAGCTTTTTGCTTTTCATTTTGCTTTTCCCTCTGCTCCTTGATCCGTCAATGAAAATGTGATTTCCTGTTGGAGTCTTTGATAAATATGCAAGGCTATTTTCATTGCATCAGAAAGCTGAAAGGGACCTTGGCTGGTCATTTGTGTAATTGAATCATGCCTGTGTTTTGGGCACAATTTTCATTTGATGAAAGAAACACAAGATTTCCCATGATGTTTTGCATGTCTACAAATTCAGGTGAACAAGTCTGTCCTTGGGGTCTGGTTCAGTGAATTAACTAGCATGATATTTGCTTAACAAAGGCATGCCATAAATAAGAGTCTTAATAGTCAATTGGCATGTTCCTTCATGTTAATGCTGTTTTTGAAATTTAAAGTTACAGTTGAAATAAATTGGTATCTGCATGTCTGGACTTCTGAAAAATAAGCAGATTTGAGGCGTAGTATGTTATAGCAGAAATGTCTTTTAATTCAATTGTTGTGGTACGTAGTAGATGTACATAGGCAAAAACCACAATTACTTTTTCATAAACCTAATATTTACAGGGTAGATGAGATGTATTGATATAGGTATGCAATGCGTTATAATCGTATCATGGAAAATGAGGTCTCCATCCTTTCTACCATTTATGCTTTGATTATAAACAATTCAATTATACCTTTTTAGTTATTTTTAAAATATAATTAAATTATTATTGACTATAGTCATTCTGTTGTGCTATCAAATACTAGGTTTTATTCATTCTTTCTAGCTATTTTTCGTACCCATTGATTATCCCCACCTTCCCCTACCCCAACCCTCCCACCATCCTTCCCAGCCTTTGGTAACTATCCGTTTCTCTATCTCCATGTCTTTTAATTGATTTTACTAAAGTGTCTCCCTCATTTCTACATACATGTGACTCACTGGGGAATAAACAAGGAAATCCTTTGTGATAAATCAGATGTCATTCAGAGACACAGAGCTTTTTATATGTTTCCCCTTTCTTTAAAATCATCATTGCTCTTCTAGATCAATATCAAACAAATAACAACCAAAAATCATCATGCATAAAAGTGACAAGGTTATCCCAGAGTTCCAGTTATCATTTTCATGGTTGCCAGCACCCTTTTCCAGGAAAACAAAGAGAGTGGCCAACTAAGTGATGCCCTTGAGGGAGCTCTCTTTCCCCCAGTTTCTGGAGAGCCTAGTGCAGAGGGAGAACTCCTGCCTCTGAGAAAACGGTTTTTAAGGCACCCCTTTATCCATTTTCCATCATTCCTTCAGAGAAGGAATTTATAAAAGCAAAACAGGGGCCCAAGGCATGCTTTGAGTCTCTTTGCCTCAGACCAGGCAACTATTCTCAGAATTGAGTTCATTAACATTTTCTTCTTAGGAGAAATATTATCTTTCTTCAGATTGGGGAGAGAGTCTGACTTGAGAGGCAACAATTAAGAAAGAATATGTCTTCCTCTATAAAGAAAGTCCACTTTATAAGGAATTTCCTTTAGACCATGATCAGCACTGTAAGATCTGGACTGTCAACTTGTACTTTTGAGCTTAGGAGCTGAGAAAACTCTTCTTGATTGATAATTGAAGCCTAAACACTGCAAAAAAAAAAAGGTCTGCCACGGCACAGAGACCATGCAGCAAAGAGGCAGGCAATGGCTTCTGTGAATTCTCTTTTCTTCCTGTTGCTTCTTTGATTATGTGGCCTGTTTAGAGGCACCTGCAGGAGGAGTTTTAGATAAGAAGCACAGGTTGACAAAAACTGATTTCTGGATTGTGCTTGTGTGAGACCTTCTGGAAGTTGCTGAGATTTTTGGAGGATGATTCTTGCTTTGTTTCTATTCTTTTCTTCTTTAGGTTTTAATCTGAAGGCAAGTAACTCATGTCCCTACAAGGAAATTCCCCTGAGGAATTAGAGATAAGCATGGATTTCTTAATAAAACATTTTCAGAAAAAAGTTGCCATGTTTCCAGGAGGAGCAGATGGCTGCTATTGAGGGACACCTAGGTTTGTGTTCTGGGAATCTGTCTCCTACTCATAATAGCAGGGAGCAGATTCAGATCTGCAGCAGGTGGAAATAGGCATTTGGATTACTCTGTCCTAAACAAAGCCAATCAAAACAAACCTTGGGAAGAAATGAATTGATCACAGAAGCATCTAGATCTAGGACCAATTAAAAGTTAGTTTGTTTATATGACGTATTTGAAGATTTCTCAACAATCTAGACCTATTGCTTAAGACTTGCACAGTGTTTATAGTGAAATAAGCCTGGGTTAAGATATGACTTAAGATCACTGACCAGCTGTCTAAGCTTGTTAAGGTTATCTAATATTGCTAAGCTTCAGTTTCCCCATTTAAAAATCTGGAGGTAATAATAATAATTACCTAGCTGGTTATTGTGAGCTTTAAAGGAGGGCATCAATTACTGTTTGAGGTTGGAAAATGTTCCAAAAGCTTTCTATTCGTCTGATTAAGAAGCAAACCATTCTGATTTAATATTTGTATGTGCTTGAGCCTCTTTGATTATCACATTTAGAATATTCAGTATTTGTAATAGTGAATAAAAAGTATGCTGGTTGAGAGGGGAAATAAATGGGTGAATGGAGGAGTGAATAAAATGATGCTTGTAACCCTCTTAGTTATGGATGGGATACACGCTAGGACAGTGAGGCTGAGAAAATTTAAAAAGTATTCAAGAAGTAGAAATTTTTACTTCATAAATATTGCTTGGGAGGCTGAATTAATTATAAAAACAAATGTTTTGCATTGGACATTATCTACCCATGTAATTCACTTCTCTCTGCATTCTCCCACTCTTTTAAAGGAGGGTACCACCTTGATGATGCTAAATGATTCTTGTAGAACCAGCCAGTGGGGGAAAAGAAAGTAGTTCTGACACTTAGTTAAAAAATATAGGTATACATAAATAAAGTCAAACTCCACTGCCATCTCTAGTCAAAGTGTGTGCATGCTTTCTTAAGCACAGGCTGAGATAAATCATTTTACACTTCATTTTTTTTTACATATTTACCCTATTTTAATGTTTTAATGGGTAGGGGAATGGCAAGAGCGAAGGAAAGAATAGCTGATTACCATTCAAGAGACACATCCAAACCACATTAAGAAATCTTTAGTCTGAGAATGATTGCAAAAAGAATACCAAATTCCAGTGTAGCTTTAAAAAGTGCACCATTATCTTTAATTACCTGCTTAGTAGAATAATATTTATTTTGGAATAGGAAGGAATCAGCTCAAAGTTGGTGGCCTTGTAATAAATATAAACAAATTAATTTTTTTAGAAAGACATTTCAAACTCTAAAGATACCAGCAACGTTTTTATCGATTAGTTCTTTACTGTTATAACAAGCAACTTGTTTTTATGCCATATTTATGAGCTGGTATATAATCACACATCTCAGGGATGATGGGAACCTTAAGAACCATCTAGTTCAACAGCTTATTTGAAATGTGTTTGTTTTTATGTTTTATATACATTTTGTTCTTTTGGTTGTCTCTCTCTTGCCCTGTCTCTGTATCTTTCTCTGTCTCTTCCTCTGTTGTCTGTGTGTGTGTGTGTGTGTGTGTGTGTGTATATGAAATAGATAATATATATTAAATATCATATAAGAATGTTTATACATATATTTTAATGCCCACTATAGTGGACTAGTAACAAAATCTTACTACTATAAAGTACTCTAGAGGAATATGCTTATAGCTTATTTTATGACATATGTTTGATCATATATCTAATAACAAATCTTTGATCAGGAGCTTACTTCCAATTAGAGCAGTGGTTCTTAACAGGGACAATGTTCCATCCTAGGAGCCTTGTACATGTATCAGGATTTTACTTTATCATCTCAATGACTGGTAAAAGGCAAGGATGCTGAGTGCCCTGTGATGCATGGGACAGTCTTTCTCAAAATGAATCCTCCCGTTTCTCCTAAAATATTTGAATGACCCACTGGATTTTGATGTAGGTAAGAAACCTGTTTGTAATTCCCTGGGCCTACACTTTATTTTACTTAAAAGCTCAGAGTACTGTCTCTGGTATTTTAATATGCTCTGAATTTTCCAGGAAAACAACTTATATAAGTTGACAATACTTACTTTTATTTTGTTGAGAACTTTTCCAAGAGATTCAATATTTCAGAAAATGACCTACCTAAAGGCAATAGTGCTTGTGGAATTTAAGATAAAAATAAAGTACAGACCATCAGTTGGCAAACTGTAGTTATTGAATTCCCACAGTTCTAATTATGGGTGCAAGCATCCAGGACTTCGTTATGTTTTCAAATATAGGTTTTTCTCTTGCTATATAAGGAAATCCTTACAATTTTATTTTGAATTAATACCCTCATATCTTTTTAATGTTACACGTATGACATTATATTGATTTTTAAATTTTGTATATAGGTAAGTTATATTGTCTATAAATTTCAATTCATAGGTGATATAACCCATTACGACTGTGATAATGAAAGAGACATTAACCCATGTATGAGTGCAATAAGGAGTTGTGTTTGATAGGGCCCAAAGGCTCTGAAATAGAAAAGCAGTATACTCAGGGGAATTTGCCGCATCCTCTAGTACAAGTACAATTACAGGTAATATATTATTTATCAATTATTGTACAGTAATGTTTGCCACAAATTGAGTGGCACATATTTATCATCTTACAGTTTCTGTGGTTCAGGAGTCTGAGCATGGTTTAGCTGCATCATCTGCAAGGCTACAATCAAGATGGTGGCCAAAGCTGCAGTCTGATATCTAAGCTTGGTGGGGAAAGGATCCATTTCATGCTTCAGGCAGTTCTTACAGGAATTGAGGTCCTTGAGGCCTGTTGGACTACAGGCCTCAGCTTGTTGCTGTCTGTTGACTAAAGGCTTCCTTTACTTCCTCAGAAGGCAAGTCTCTTCAGTATGGCTGCTTGCTTAATTGAAGCCACAAAGGGAGAAAGTCTGTAATCAAGACAGGACTTACAATCCTATGTAATGACATCATGAAAGTAGCATCACATTATCTTTGCTGTATTCGATTGGTGAGAAGCAAGGTATAGATTCCATTGTACTCAAGGGACAGGGATGACCACTCACCCACAAGGGTAATTGGGAAACATTTTGAATTCTGTTCATCGCAGCCAACTTTCTGAGGCAGTGTTAGGTGTAGGGGATGAATTCTTAGGATCAAAAGGTAGCTACTGTGTTCTGTAGTCTTTATTCTAATTAAAGATAATTTTATCCATTAATGTGAAGTCAGCTGTACTCAGAGAAGAGAGAAAACTGGGTTACTAGAATGCAATCTGTTTAAGTCTTTTAAGACTACAAAGTCTTTACTAATTTGATTTGCATTTATCTGATGAGCATTTCTATAACATTGGAGTTTCCTCGGTGCAGGGATGGGTTATCCACATTTTCTGCCATTCAGAATCTTTCCATCCAGTTCTCCCAGCTAGTTCTCGGGCCCATCAAATTTTGAACTAGGATCAGATCTGGAAGATGTAGAGAGGATTTTTAAATTGTTTTAAAAATGTTTTATTTTTATGAGTCGTGAAGATTTGTTATATAGATAAACATATGTCACGGAGTTTGTTGCACATATTACTACATCATTAAGGCATTAAGCTCAGTACCCAGTAGTTATCTTTTCTGCTCCTCTCCCTCCTCCCACCCTCCAGCCTCAAGTAGACCCCAGTGTCTGTTGTTTCCTTTTTGGGGTTTGTAAGTTCATATTATTTATCTTCCACTTTTAAGTGAGAACATGCAGTGTTTGGTTTTCTGTTTCTGTGTTAGTTTGCTAAGTCTGATAGCGTCCTGCTCCATCCATATTCCCATGAAAGATATAATTGCATTCTTTTTTATGGCTGCATACTATTCCATGGTATATATGTGACACATATTTTTTTTTTATTATTATACATTAAGTTCTGGGGTACATGTGCAGAACATACAGGTTTGTTACATACGTATACATGTGCCATGGTGGTATCAACCCATCATTTACATGAGGTATTTCTCCTAATGCTATC